TATACCCTGGCTGTCTCTGTTTGACAGCTTTGTATTCTGTAGCTATGCCAGCCCAGCAAGCACATTTACCCCTCTTTGTGTGCTCTGTGTGAAAAACGCCAATCACTTGTTTTTAAAACTTTAAAAGTTTAATAGTAATAAAATGGTTATAAAAATAGTAATATGAGTAATAATAATGTGGACAATATGGATTAGGACGAGACAATAAAAACAAAGAGTTATGGACAGTCCAGGTACCTCTTTCTGGGCAAAATAAGCCCGAAAAAGGACCCACGTTAACAGAGGATTAACCCTTAAAAGCAACAGCCTGTTGCATATTCATACACCTCACACATGATGCACAAATTCCATTCAAACACAGGATTCTGTCTGGGCAGTGTCAGCTTCTTCCTCTGAATCCTGACAGCATCTTCAGGGCTGAGCAAGGCAGGAAGAAGTTCGTTTCTTCTGATAATGGAGCAATAAATTCTCTTTCTCTGAAAGATTCAGGTGTCCTGTGGCTGCTATCTCACTACGAGTCCTCTCTTCAAAAAAAGTATCCTACATAGCATAGTTTCTATTTTAACATTTTGTTATAACCTAAAACTGTATTTAACACACTACTTAAGAAAATTAATACAGCATAACTTTCTAACACAACACACACAATATTCACTCTAATATTTGCAAAAAGTCAATCATAAAATATGCGTTTTTCACATCTGTGTGCTGGCTGCAGCCTGCTGCCTGTCTTTTTAAGCAGAGCCAGCTGCCAATGCAGATGTTCCAGTGAGTACGTGCAACACGTGCTCCAGGGGGAGCAGCAGCTTCCTGGAAGCTGGAAGGGCCAGAGCTCCGCTCTCACAGCAGCCTCAAAGCTGACACCAGCAGCCTGTTTTGGTTTTTTAAGTTCTTCTAAGCCTTCTGATGTTTAAATTTTATATAATACATATTTATATGCTATGTATTATATTATATTTATATTATAATTATGTATTTTTATATTTATGTATTTCTGTAAATACTTCTTGTTTTGCATTCTTTTCTGGAGGAAGAGGAATTTGAT